TTTAATCGGTCAGGGCTTGTGCTTTGATGTTTTCGTTAATCTGCATTTTGCCCAAACAGTAGTAAGGCTGAAATATGCGGCATCCATTTACTTCCCATTTCTGAAAGCTTCTGGCGCTGCGGACCCCTTTGAGGGAAACCTTGCTTAGGGAGCACCCTCCTCATTCCTGTACCAGACCCTTGGCATGCCAGTGTGACTTTCCTCATTGAACTGAAGTGAGAAGAAAATACGGTAGAGAACGATGAAGAAACATTATTGTGGCGTTCTGTTACTCTTTGGGCAAGGTGTGGAGTTCAGAACAGGGATAGGACCAGCTCCTGAGGCTTCAGTTTATAGGAAGAAATCCTCCTCCAAAACTGTCAAAACATTCTTGTGTACTTGGCTTAACATTTATCATCACCCCAAAGCATTTGTCATTACCAGGGTCTGTTTGGTGGTGGTGAAGTTTGTAGGTTTCGCCATGTCTTTGTGAAAGGGGGTTGAATTGCCTTTTTCAGGTATGGGTTAAAATGTAAACTGTGACTGTAACGGAAGAATAGTGACAACGAACTGATTTGCACTGATGATTCAACATGTAGTTCTCTCCACTTTTCATGACTGGCACAGTTGACATGAGAACTCCTATACAGGCTTGTTCTCCAGGAGGGAAGTGTGTTCACAGGGATGCGCAATTGCACTGGGAAAGGTCCGGTGCTGTGATACAAACTTTAAGTTTAGAAACTATCATAACAGAGAGCAGAACCAGAATTGTGTGACTGGGGCATCGACTGTATTATGCAACTATGAACAAACAGTAACTTCCACAGGTAGCTCTGTAGTTTGAATGTTTGTTGCATCCTAGAGGATTATAAAGAAAGAAAAATCTGATTACTGTTTAAGAAGTAACATGGTTATTGTTAAGGAAGTTCTGCAACCTGCCAGCTGCTGCTGTAGGGATAGCTAACTATTGGTGTACTAGCATATTTTTCCTTGTTTTTTTTTAATTTTTTTAAAATTTTTGTTAAATGCGCTTGTACTTTCCTTTGTGTCTGGGCAAGAGTCCACACAGACGGGAGAAACTGAGGACTTGGTTCCACATGAGCTGCTGTAGTGTACACAGTAAGCAGGAAAAGAGGCAGTGGGGAGACTCATGTTTATTATGTTTACCCTTTATTATGTCAGTGACAGTTTTGGAAATGTAAAATTCAAAAGTCTGCAGAAAGCTAATTGTGGAGGAGCTGTGCGGCAGTACTTTACGTCAAAATGCCCCCATCTTTGAAACTAAGATTTTTACAGAGGATAATGGGAACTTGTTATTAAGTTGTTGTGCCTAAGTATACAGGAGCCTGTTTGATAGGATTTGAATGTTTTGTTTTGTACTGAGCAAAATGTAAACTGTCAAAAGTTTTATCTTGGACTTGAGCAATCGCTCAGGTCGCTGTGCTCAGAAGTGTCAACTTTTATTACTGTCTATGTGTGGGGGAGAGAAGTGTGGCTAGTCCAATGGCCATGTCTGGGGGCATCTCCGTCGATTTGAGATGCCTATAAGCATGGAGACTCAAATTAACATCTCTGTTTTTACAGTGACTTGCCTTTCCTCATTTGGCAGGATTATATCACAAGTTGAAGAGGGTGGCCTTACCATTGTGAAACACAGGAAGAGGAAAGTGTACAACTGTGGTGTTGAAGTTTCTGACTTTTTTTCCTTTGTTCTACTCCTTAGATTTTGAAGCAAGTTTTATTCGCCTGATTGACAAAGTGACCAATGGCTCTCGGATTGAAATAAACCAAACAGGTGATACTGTTTTCTCTTCTTCCTCTGTTCTGGTCTTCTGAGCTCTATCAGCTGCTGCAGTGAAATTAAAGGTTTAGCTTGCCAGACATAGGTGTTTGGGTATCACTGATGGAGGAACTCAGAAATAACCAAGCTGAGAAGTTTTGTAGTAATTGGTCACAGGCAAGAAGATCAGTGTTCCACCATAATGGGGAGTTAAGGAAACTATATTTCTCAAGAATTAGTATTTTCTTTGGTATGCAGGATTTTGTAGTGGGGCGAGGTCCCTCTGAACCAGAAGCAACTTTTGTAGAAGGCAAGGTTTGCCTTCTACAAAGGTAAACTTCTGAGCAAGACTGCTTGCCTAGTCACAGTCAGAAAAGGGGTTGGTTTAAACAAGAAGCATCCCACATCATTTCATATGATTCCTGTCCTCTTTTTAAGGATTTTAAGGATTATGGTTGATCAGTAAAGCAGGTGAACTACCAGCAAATATGCCAACACAATGATGACCTCATGGTCTGGTGAAGATTTAGCTGCTGTGGAAGATAGTAACAGCTTCTATCAGCATTTTGGGGATTGCTGAGTCAGCCTTGATTTTGTGGAGAGGGGGAAAGGAGGAGAAATGATGTGCCAGCCAGCCACTCACATGGTGGTGCATTAATTAGCTCCAGACACAGAAGTAGCACACTGGAAGTGCTACCATCTTTTGTGCATTCTTGTGTCTGTATGCCTGTATGTGTGATTGCAAAGAGCCTTTATGCTGTTGCAATGTCCAGTGTGCTGACAGTGCTCTCCTTTGGGTGGCTTCCCTGGAACCTTCCACAGGTACTACCCTGTATTATCAGCCTGGTCTTCTGTACGGCGGCTCGCTGGAACACGACTGCAGCCCCAGTCGCAGCATTGGCTACTATTTGGAAGGTCTGCTCTGCCTGGCACCCTTCATGAAGCATCCGCTGAAGATTGTCCTGCGGGGAGTGACAAACGATCAAGTGGATCCTTCAGTAAGTAATAAAATGTAGTACCAGAGGAGCATTTTTTTCCCCCTAAAAAACCAAAACTATTAGGGAGAAGTGTTTAAAACATGTTGCATTTTTATAATCCCTCGCATCCCAAAGTATACAGTGTCACTGCATTTGCCAGCAAACTCCATGAATCAAACAAGCATTTGCTAAACCATTCTGTTTCCTCAGTGCAGTCCAAACTACAGTTTGTACCTTTTGACTTTCGGTTCTGTACCGCTTCCGTCTTCCCTTGAAACTCCCTTTAAATCCAATGTGAGGTTCTGCCACTGGCTTGCTTCTCCTGTTCTCACAGAAATTAGATGTGTTTTTTCTCCTACCCCACAAGTGAGTGTTTACTGTTAAAAAAGGAAATTGTCTTTAAAATTCAAGTGTGATGAGGAAGGAGTCTTTCTTTTTTGTTGGATGCTGGGCGTAGTTACATCAATGCTTCTGTGAAGTCTTTCTGTTAGAAAGATAAATCACATGAAATTACAATGAATTAAAAGCATGTCATTCTCATTCTTTGGAAGATGCTAGGAGGTATGGTAGATCAAATGACTGTGAAGTACCTGCCTTGATTTCTGTTACTGTTGATTTATAGTCCTTTGCTTTAACAATGTAACAAAAGTAAGGTATGGATAACATGGGATTAAACCACTGAAGTAATGGTTAGTAGTTATGCTGATTTTTTTTTTTCAAATCCAAACCTTTTGGAGAAGAGTACTGCTGTTTGCCTTCTGAATTGTGGTTGGAGATGGTTTTGCTCTGAGCAGATAAAGGAAACTGTCATGTGAAAACTTGGCCGTTTAAATGAATACAAATACTGTGAAGCATAATTGCAGATACTACATGAGCCTCTGAGTCTTGCTGATATTTATGGCTTTGCAACTGTGCATCTATTGTAATTTAAAAAAACTTGTCCTCTTACCTGTGGCTCTGTGAGACATGCACATGACACAAACAATGCTTGAAATGGGTTGTATACAGTACTGTCAAAAAAAAAAAAAGGGAAAAATAAATCTAAAATGGAAATCATGTTTTGCCAACCTTTCAGTCACTGCGATTAGGAGTACTTAACAGTAGGTAGTAAGAAGCAAAAGAAGTCTCTTTTGGTTGACTGTCTTTCTAATCACAGTGGAAAAACTCTGTAAGAATTTGGAGACAAAGAGCAGTCCAATCTTAATATTGTTTTTAAGTAAGTTTGGACACTCACCTGACAACTCACTCTTGGTTGTGGCAATTATTGCTTTTCAGGCATCAGCTGCATGGGCCAACAGAGGTTAAACATTCCTAGTTGAAATGGGTGCTAGAATTTGAGCTGTTTAAGTGTGGGCTTGCACTGTGCAAAGCTCAGACACAGATGGATATTACTGTGTATCAGCTGAGTTGTAGCTGATACTAGGTGTAAATAAAATGCAGATATGCTAAGGGGCTATACCTTAAGTCCATTGTGCTGTAGAAGCACAACTGCAGTTAACTGTGGCTCATCCCATGTGTAGTAACTTTTTAACTGGTGATAACTGAATACCAATTCCTAACGTTGCTTTAAAGCTAGTTCATGTCTGTTTAACTTGCTAGAGTAAACATTAAACCTGGTGCTTATTAATAAACTACTTTAAGGAGTTTTACAAGATGTTTTGTATAGTATATGGCTCTGCAGGTTGCAGAGACTAAAAGCACAAGCTTCAGTGCTATGCCAGGTGATTTATTTGCTTAAGTGAATGGAAACTTTGCTTTACATTTGATCCATCTTTTTCAGTAAGCAAAAGCTGTTTAGAAACTAGGTGAACATTTATTACCTATGCTTGCCCAAAAAGAGATGCTGAAATTTGTCTATATACAATTCCTAGCTTTTCAAGAAGATGTATGTAAATATATTGTGGGCAGTTTAAAATGAGCAAGGTGTTTTCCATGCAAGAACCTCTCCATCTTAACTTAGTAGGTGCAATAAGCAAGGCACCTGCTTTGAAGAATTTTTATTGTTTTTATTTGTAAAAGAGATGTTCTGTAAACATGTCTTTATTTTGGAGCTAGATGAACTCTCCAGGATGTATCATTGCATGGGTGTATTCAACATTTCCACACAAATGTAAATATTCACATGCATTTGTGAAAGCTGTGAGGAGAGTGGAAATGGTCAAGGCAAGAGGAGAGGCATTTCTAAAGGATGCTTTGTGAAAGGAAAGGCTTGAACTGACTTCAGCAAGATACAGGTCAGGCTGATTTCCTGAGTGTAAATAGAGAGTGCGTTTATGTGAGCATTTATTTATATGCATTAATAGCCCTCCAGTAGGGTTCAGTGGAAAACTCTGACAGCTTGCACCATTCTAGAGTACTGTGGCTACTGAAATAGGAGGTCACGTGCACTTGTTTCAGGTTGGACCATGGTGATAATGGTGGGTGAGTGATAAATCCTAAATGAGTGAGAGGAATACTACTTTGCTCACAATCATCAGGAAAAAACATGGCTTTGGAATACTCTTCTGCTGACCACTTGCCCAACATAGAATTGTATTATCATTAACAGGCAGACCAGCAGCCAAACTCCTCTGTCTGCTCCCACACCACACACCAGAGACCCAAAGCACCAGACAAACAGAGGGAGGAACAAGTCAATGCACTCACCTACAACAGTGGCTGTGAAGAAGAGAGTGGGTGGGGAAGGGGCCAAAGCCATGGGCAATGGGAGCAGCCAGGCCATGAGCCCGTCATATATATATAGCAGGGACTCAGAGACAGCTTCATCTTCTGGCACTGCTGTCCTGGGAACTCCACTTGCCATGAAGAGTCAGGGAGCTCTTCCAATAGCCAGAATCCCCACACAGCACATCCACTGTGCAGGCAGAGCTCCCAACTCCACTGCAAGCAGAGTCAGTTCTTACAGAGGTGGCTTCTTGTCCCACCTCCAAGTTACTGTGGAAGGTGGGGGCAGCTGGTGGTGATCTCCTGATCAGTTCCCACCCAAGGCTAGCCAGACCCTGGGTGAAAACCAGTCAGGAGGGCCTTTCTTTCCTGGCTGTGAACAACAGCTATATACCCATCTTCATTCAGGGCTGGGAGTTTAAAATGCAGCACTTCGAATACCAGCCTGAACTGTTCACTGGCAGCCTGCATTTCTGTGACCTTTTTTTTTTGTGTGACCACTGGTGAGACCTGACCATGAGTGGATAGCTTGTGAGACTGGTGTATCAAGTTGAGGTAGTTTAAAGTTTCTCTGTATAGAGAATAAGGGGGGAAGGGGTGTATTTGTGAAGTGTCTTTTTGAAGGGAATGGAGGTGGCACACAAATGAAAGCTCTTAGTTTCCTTTTCTATGCATTGTTATCCTAAGAGATACATAGTGCTGCAATAATCTGGTTTTAGAATAATCCTTCTTAAAGTTTGGGTTTGCAAGTGTTGGAGGTTTTTTTATGCTATGGGACTTTCAGCTGATTTTCATTCTAACATGAGACCACCATGTGACATTTTGGCTTGGGAGCAGTAATCCCCAATGTTACTGAAAATTCAGTAACATTCAGCAGTTGACTGTAATCCCAGAAAAACAATAAGTTTTTCCTGATGACTTTTCTGTCTTTCAGGTTTTTTTACTTGCTGAAGTCTGGTTTTGCTTTTTGCCCCCATCCCTGAGTTGAAGTCCTTGTCCCCAAAACAGTGCTGTACATATGGCAGTAATAAATGTTATGTGCAGTGCGACTGGCTAAACAGGGCATGGCTACACAGGCCAGCCAATGCTTGCCCCTTCCCTAGGTAGCCATGTGCTACATAGGGTCTATATATGTTTTTTTGCAGCTTTACACTAGCTAAGAGATTTCTGCCAAGAATTAGCGATTAGTTTTCTTTTTTTAATTGATGCAGTTTTCTTTGAAGGAAAAAGGTTTGTATTTCCACTGGTTTGTGAAAAAGCAGTAAGTATGTGACTTAGCAAGTTGCTAGCATTTGTGCTGAGGGGTGCTCTTAATGTATGATGCGTTTGCTTTGGTACAATTTGGTGCTGTGCTGTCTGCTCTGGAGATGGAGTACCTGTCCTTCAGGGTATGGTTTTATGGCTGGCTGTAGGCAAGACACTCAAGTACAGTTTTAGATATCAGTTCTGCTACCATCTTGTGATTTCCAGTGAACCTCCTCTGCCTGAATTCCTGCTTATCTGCTAAGCAGAACAACCTTTCCTGCTTCTTCAAATACTGCTGATTACCTTCCCTATTTAGGCTTCACATTTGGAACAGAAACAGTCTCTTGTTACTTGTCTGTCTGGTACCATGCCTGGAATTTCTCTCAGGACTAAAAACTATGACAAAGCTTGAAGCTTTTTTAAACAGGCAAACCAGACTGAAAATTGATCCAGCTTCCTAATGCTGGCATAACGTGCTTTCTCCAGAGACACAGACTGCAATCCAAAGAATTGCATGAGTGGAAATGGAGAAGGGAAAGGGAGCTCCTAACCTACACAGTGAAGCTTTTCCCTTTCTACTGGTGTATTTTGTTTCATAAGAAAGAGGGAGAAGTATTGTGTAACTTTAATGTGAACCAGATCAGCTGATCATCCTGTTGGAACTTCTGCCAGTGGCATTCATGTGTGCCTCTGTGCGTGTACATGCATGTTGGTAAAGGTTTTTGCTCTTAAAGCCAAATTTTTGTGATTAATCAGTAGTACGGAGGAGCTGAATTGTGGTAGCCTGGCTGTAAAAAATATATAAATGTAAAAAATTAATAATTAACTTACAGTTGTTTTTTTTTTTTAAATTAAGGCATTCAAATATTGATACTACCATTAAAAAAGACAACAAAAGCCTCTCTGTAAGAAAGGAAGTGCGATGGCCAGCAGGATTTGAAGGATAAGAACTGTGGCATACACTTGTAGCTACTCAGGTGGCTCTAACAGGTTTCCACAGCTTTGTAGGTCAGGTATTTGCTACTACTTCATCTGTGGCTTGCACTCTGCAAAGCAGACAGAATGAAACTCAAGAGTTGCAGATCCTGGTTGAAGGCATGGGAAGGAAGGTGCTTTTTTCTGCCTCCTCAGCTGCTGTCTACTGTATCTCTGTTTCCTTGACCTGAATTTGGTTCCTCTTTGGTGTTGCTGTCCTTGTCCTGTCTCTCCCAAGCTGCTTGTCCTGCACAGTTGCAGTGCTAAATAATTTTTGTCGCTTTCAGCAATGCTCCTGAAGTTTCAGCAGGGGGAAGGAGGTGACAGTCGCTGTTGTCTTAGGTCAGCAATTGGGAGTAGGAATGGCAAGGAGAATCCCGCTCAGACCTGGATCGGGGAGCGTCTGGCTCTAAGAGGGCACATGGATGATGTGTCACCCACTTCAGATCCTTTGAAGTGTTTCAACAGAATTTGCCTAGAAGCTTGTTTCTCAGAAACAGCTGAAAAGAAGTTCTTGACATAGGGTGAAGTTCCTCATGCCGAATCAGGGGCCTGCTCCAAAATGCAGAGGCTCTTACAGTCATTATTTATTTACCTGTGGGAAATTTTTAGCGATAAAAGAAGAACATAATTTTTTTTCAATAAACGTGTTCAGAGAAACAAATGAGATGTTTAAGCTGTACCATAATAGAAGTCAAAATCAGGCTGAGGAGGAAATCCAGAATAGGAAATTCCATCTTCCAGTAATTTGTTCTAGTAAATTTTTTGAGTAATGTGACACTGTAGTGGTTTAAGACTAGCCAAAGGTCTCTGTGCTGCATTCCCATGTCTTCCCATAGAATACTTAGTATGGAGAAGCCTTGACTTTGTTAGGCACCCAATGCAGTGATTTTTAAATCACTGACGTAACTTCGCATAAAGAGTCTGCTTTTTTAATTCTTTGTTCTGTAGGTAGATGTCCTTAAGGCAACAGCTCTACCCCTACTGAAGAAATTTGGAATTGATGGTGAAAATCTGGAAATCAAGGTAAGACAATTTGTTCCTTTCTTTTCTAGCATATGTTGAAATGACACTTCTGCATTGCTTCACAGGGCCATGTGCTTGCTCCCAGTATCTGTTTCTAGCAGATACCTACTTGTAACTACACACGTTTCTAAAATTGCCTTTTGTTCTTGGCATGTTTTAAATGCCATACCAGCCACACAGTGGTTGAAGAAGTGTTAGAAGAGACATGCAACGTCTATGGGCAGAGAGGGTAAAGAGAAAGTAGTGAATTTTCATAGACTCCAAGATCTCTGCAAGCTGAGAAGCCTTTTTGTTTTCTTGTGGCTCTTTGGTTCCTTTAATTTCTTTTTCCGTGCATTTGTTCTTCCTGTCCTGCTTAGAGCTGAGGAGGAGTAGCAGAATCTTTTGCCTTCTTCACCAATAGAGGAGCTGAATCTGAGTTTGGGTGATTGGGGTTTGCTTCCCTTTTGGCCCTTCACAGACCAAATTAACCTGGATGTAGCATATAATTTTTTTTGACTGGAGAGAGAAACTATAGCCTTTCTAAGTTAAGAACACTCATTTTAAATGTGTGCAGGCCCTAGCTGAGCTGCTGGTCTTTGCTTGCTCTGACAAACCCCCTGCCCCACGGGTGCTTCCCCCCAGCCTGTCCACAGCCCAAGACCTCATCTCACCACCCTGGGACTTTCAGGCCCTGCTTCAGTGCTGCAGTAGGGCCAGTTTCCAGCTCCCCACAGGCCTTCCCTGCCCACTCATGGGCCCCCTAAGCCAGACCTGTCTGTGGCCCATATCCCATCCCCATTCTTTGGATGTTGTCTGGGGCAGTGGGACGGGTTTGGGTTGGCCAGGCCCGTCTGTGGGAACGAGTTCATTCTGGATCTCCACATGCACACTAAGCATCAAACACTTCTAGACTGTCTTCAACAGTGAGGTACAGAATTTCTGTTAGGGGCCAGTCTTGCCAAGGTTGCCTTCCTGGTAGAGATGTTGGGGTTTTGTTTGATTTTTTTTCCATTGAGAAGGCCTGTCTGTCCTATTGTACTCGAGAGAGGAAAGTAAAAAAGAAGTACATTTTTGCTTACAGTGTTGGTGCAAAATCCACCTCTGCCTTTAGGATGTCTTTTTCTTGCCTGTGTTTACATAATACTTCTACTGATAACATTTTATTATATATGAAATAGAAGCTGTAATTTTTTATTGTGTAAGTCCATTCTTTGTGCTTTTCACTAACCTGCTTATTTCCTCCGTTGTTGTTTGTAGATCAACCGGAGAGGAGTGCCTCCCAAAGGGGGTGGGGAGATTGTCTTTGCCTGCCCAGTGAGAAAGGTCTTGCAGCCTATTCAGTTCACGGATCCTGGCAAAATCAAGCGCATCAGAGGAACTGCGTATCCTTTTTTGTTTGTTTTTCTCCTTTTAAACGACTTGCCTTAAAAAACAAGTCTCCCAACTTGAAGTTGCAGAAGTCCACCCACATGACTGAGCATAGAGTAATTTTAGCTGAAGGAGACCTTTAAGATTGTCAAGTCCAACCGTTAGCACGACACTGCCAGGTCACCACTGAACTATGTCCTCAGCACCACATCTGTATGTCTTTTAAGTATCTGCAAGGATGGTGACTCCACCACTTTCGCAGGCAGCCTCTTTCACTGTTTTACAACTCTTTTGGTGAATAAATTTTTTCTAATATCCAATCTAAACATCCCCTGGTGCAACCTAAGGCCATATCCTCTAGGATGTATCCAGGTAAGATGGGGTGATGTTATGCAGAGAGATTACACGACTAGATTTCAGGACTGTGTCTCAAAACTGCTGTGTTCAGAACATTGTTGTTGGAAAAGCATCAGTAGACAAGTAAATAAATTTGAAACTAAAGAGCAAAATTGAAAATCTTTTCAACAGCAAGAAAAAGTTATAATACTTTCTATCACATAATGCAGCAGCACTAGAAGAAATTTTACCTTGTGTGTAAATCCAGTAGTTGCAAATGTAGTTTTGTTGTGCATCAAATAGGTGGCGTCTTGGCTTTTAATGAGTGTAGCTGAATGCTAGATGGGAGCTTAAATCTTAATTCTGTTTATACCTCACTACGCATGTGAGCTGAGGTTTTTGTTGTGTTGTAAAAAGAAGTTTGTTAGCTCTTCAGTTTTGTGGATGTTTGATTTCCACACAAAGATAAGAGCACAAAACATTGTGAAGTACTCACTTTTGCAAACAGAACTGCATACCTAGTTAAAGTTTTGGGTTTCTCTCTTGTGATTTTTGTAAGCTATCTGTCATGAACATGCTGTCATTGTAGGAAGAAGGCCGACATCCTTTACAGACAACGTATACTAAGGCTGTGTTTCATGAGCGCTTGCTTTCTCTTGAGCATTGGCCAACTTGTAGTTTAATTTGTGATTATGAGAATCCCAAACATGATCTGGCTTTG